CCACCACACCAGCCCACCACAGCTGCCCACCACACCTGCCCACCACACCTGCCCACCACAGCTGTATGTCCTAACTACCAACTATCCTCCTCAAGGTTCACACTGGGCCAACGTGGCTACCCTCCACCTCTGACAAGACCCGGGTCTTCACAACAGGGAACAGCCTCGTCGCAGAAGAATTCTTGTCATTTCAGCCACATGTTTCGCTCCCTTTGCAAAATATGAGAGAAATTATATAATTTTTTCTGCCCACAAACCCTTATATAGCAGCCCTGATCAGGTGTGTGTGAGTGTCAGCCACTCATACTGGTGTGTGTGAGTGTCAACCAGTCATACTGGTGTGTGAGTGTCAACCAGTCATACTGATGTCTGCAGTGTCAACCAGTCATACTGATGTCTGCAGTGTCAACCAGTCATACTGATGTCTGCAGTGTCAACCAGTCATACTGATGTCTGCAGTGTCAACCAGTCATACTGATGTCTGCAGTGTCAACCAGTCATACTGATGTCTGCAGTGTCAACCAGTCATACTGATGCCTACAGTGTCAACCAGTCATACTGATGCCTCCAGTGTCAACCAGTCATACTGATGCCTACAGTGTCAACCAGTCATACTGATGCCTCCAGTGTCAACCAGTCATACTGATGCCTCCAGTGTCAACCAGTCATACTGATATCTGCAACCATCAATGTGTCTGGGTCCTCTCCCTCACTACTCCTTCTCAAGATCTATTAAGAACAGTAGTAAAGAAGATAGTTATTTATTAATAATTAAATGTAATTAAAAACCGAGTGACTGAAATATGGTCGTGTTAATCGACGTAAAATAAGAAAAAAATATTAAAACCCCAAAAATCAGTGTTGATTTAATGTTAAATTAACGCCATTTGCCTATAGACGTGTGAAGAGGATTGAATCCAATGGAACTCCACTCCATATATCTATTCTGAATTTTCTGTTACTGATATTCATTTGTTTTTTAGGATGTAGGTTACTTTATCGTCCATATTGAGAATTTTCCAAGACTCTGCCATCTTGCTTTTCTCGTTTTAATATTAGTTTCTTTTGCGACGTTACTTCAAAGGTCTGGAGGGACTTGAAGAAACCTCAGAGCGTCGCCAGGTTCCTTGACGGTGTTATTATGGTGTAGAATTCATGCAGGTTTGACAGACATGAGTCCATGTGAAGGCTTTGATGCCCAAGTCCAGCTTCTGAAAGGTGTTTCATCAGTCTTAAAGGACATTTTCTTCGTTATCTAGCAGGGATATGCCTGTCAGAGACTGTGTGTGTGTGTACTCGCCTAGTTGCGCTCACCTAGTTCACCTTGAATCTATATATCAGTTGATTGACGGTTGAGAGGCGGGTCCGAAGAGCCAGAGCTCAACCCTCGCAAGCCCAACTAGGTGAATACAATTAGTTGAACACACACACTCGCGCGCACACACACACACACACACACACACACACACACACACACACACACACACACACACCACACACACACACACACACACACACACACACAACGGGTCTGGGTGGCCGAGTGGACAGCGCTCTATATTCGTGGACCTAGGGACCGGGGTTTGATCCCCGCACCCGGCGGAGACAGATGGGCAGAGTTTCACCCCTGATGCACCTGTACCTGTGTTCTACCTGTCTTAATACGCGGTAATTCCCCGTGTATATAAAAGATCCAAATATTAGAGATAATGTCTATTATCTGAGGCTGGCGGTCAGACGCTAAGGGCTAGTCTCACCCAACTTTGCAGGGTGAATGGTCTGGTGTGCGTGACGGACGTAGACGGGTCAGGGTCGGTCCTATTGATCCTGTTAAGAGGTAGTCGGAAATAACAGTGACCATCCCCCCACCTCCAACGTAATAAGGCACTACGGGCTCACCATAGCCCGTCCTACTTGGAACTTTGTTCCAGGTAGCGAATCTTTAACAATAACAAACAACCAACGTAATCAGTGAAATGTGGCTGGCCGAGTCCCTAGAGGTTTTTGTCATATAAATAAATGGAAATTGTACGAGATTGGAGGCGACCCGGAGAAGAGAAAGGGGAAGAGAAAGGGGAAGAGAAAGGGGAGGGTAGAGGGAAACAAGGGGTGATGGGAGGGATAGAGAAACAGGGAATGAAAGAGAGGAAGATGAAAACAGGAAACAAGTAGAGAGAATCCTTCCCAGATGAACTCAATAAAACTCAATTTTGTAGATCAAAATTTGAGATGAATTTGTAGATTATCTTATCTTGAGGTTATCTTGAGATGATTTCGGGGCTTTTAGTGTCCCCGCGGCCCGGTCCTCGACCAGGCCTCCACCCCCAGGAAACAGCCCGTGACAGCTGACTAACACCCAGGTACCTATTTTACTGCTAGGTAACAAGGGCATAGGGTGACAGAAGCTCTGCCCATTGTTTCTCGCCGACGCCCGGGATCGACCCCGGGACCACAGGATCACAAGTCCAGTGTGCTGTCCGCTCGGCCGACCGGCTCCCTATTGCAGATAAAATAAAACTCAAATTTTTGTACACGTGAAACTTAATAATTTATTAATAATTAATAATTTAGCCTTTATATATACTTTGAGAATACTGATGGAAATTCCACAAGATACCAAATAGATAGAATTCCTCTAGGTCTATCCAACAACATAATACTAAATTAGTTTACTGCTAAATTGTTGAGTTAATGGTAGGGTGACCCATTAGAAAATAGGAATCACCCGTTACATGAACAGATGTTGATATCTTGATGGCGTTTGATATCCTACGAGAAAGCGTTCGAATCGCCTGTGAATAATTGACATATGATAACAGGAGCAGCGTAACGAGCCTCCAATTAAAGGTGAACCATCGTGAGGGGTCTGAGTAGTTTACCAGGGCCAGAGAGTAGTCTACCAGGGCCAGATAGTAGTTTACCAGGGCCAGAGAGTAGTTTACCAGGGCCAGAGAGTAGTTTACCAGGGCCAGAGAGTAGTTTACCAGGGTTAGATAGTAGTTTACCAGGGCCAGATAGTAGTTTACCAGGACCAGAGAGTAGTTTACCAGGGCCAGAGAGTAGTTTACCAGGGTTAGATAGTAGTTTACCAGGGTTAGATAGTAGTTCACCAGGGCCAGATAGTAGTTTACCAGGGCCAGAGAGTAGTTTACCAGGGTTAGATAGTAGTTTACCAGGGCCAGATAGTAGTTTACCAGGACCAGAGAGTAGTTTACCAGGGCCAGAGAGTAGTTTACCAGGGCCAGAGAGTAGTTTACCAGGGCCAGATAGTAGTTTACCTGGGCCAGAGAGTAGTTTACCAGGGCCAGAGAGTAGTTTACCAGGGCCAGAGAGTAGTTTACCAGGGCCAGAGAGTAGTTTACCAGTGGGAGTCCAGAGAGGCATTTAATGTATATATATTATATATATATATATATATATATATATATATATATATATATATATATATATATATATATATATATATATATATATATATATATATACACATTGAAGATTGTGTATACATGTGTATAAGCAGTGTATGAAGGGAAACAATGGTACCATACACCTTACCACCACTCTAACACATAAATACAAAAGGTTTACAACCAATTACAAACAGATACAGACCATTAGATCCAAACTAAGCTGTTTACATAAAGCTTATGATCCTACAATGTATAAGGCTTTGATTTAAAGTCAAAATATAACATTATTACCTATTTCATCACAAGCACTACAACTCTCAATTACAACATTTAACAATTTAACTATTTGATCACAATTCAATTAAAAAAATAAACTTTTAGTTCAAGTGGTAAAAAAAATATTCCCTTGCAATATTGCAAGAATTAACACTAAAGGTGTTTGAAAATACAAGAATTAAATCATTAATTAGGATCAATATTACTCTGATCTTAACCTTTATTATTAATTTAAAAAATTAGATTTAGCTCTAAAGAGAAATAATTGACACGAAAGTTTCGAAATAATTTTGGGCTGTCATTGCACATTGCTCTAATTTAGCAACATCCTTTTGCAAGTTAGGCGACCGTGCAATGTTTTAGAGCACCAAGGACAACGCTATTAATTATCCCGAGCGAGAGGCACTTTCCCCATTCCACACTCAAACTATTTCCCAAAATAGGCCCAATATTGCATTGTAATATATATAGAGCCTTGGAACTCTGTTGACTCTGATATCACTCTCAGTATGTTCATTATGTTCTAGAGTACAACAGATGAACAACGTTCTTACGTCACTTGTAATATTTTGCGTGTGAATGGTGTTCATTTGTTCACTTTAATCCTGTTGGTCACAGATTGTTCCAATCCTTTGTGGCTAATGGGTTAATGATCACCAAATGGCAGGCTACACCAGCCAGGAGGAGGCCTAGTCGATCTCCTCCTACCGTGAGGTTGGATGTTATGTACTAACCGTGTCAGACTCGGTGGCCTTCCTGCCAGCACTGCCACTCATATTGTAGTTTCAGCCTTCGTATCTCCCTCCTCTGCATCACATGATTTAGTCAAATATATTTACGTGATAATTTATATATTTCAAAGAGGATACGTGATCCCAGCTATGCAGAATGCGTCGTAAAATGGTTTATACCCAGTTAGCTCCGGGACTCAGACCTTCTCCACAATCTGGCTCTTTGGTCCTGCCTCTCAACCTGTGTGTGTGTGTGTGTGTGTGTGTGTGTGTGTGTGTGTGTGTGTGTGTGTGTGTGTGTGTATGTGTGTGTGTGTGTGTATGTGTGGATCATTGTAAGAGAAAGGGTCAGATCAATGACTGTAGCTCGACCCTTCTCTTTCACTGGTTCTTCTTCACTTGAAGTGAAAGCTGTAAAATTAACGAAGTTTATTTGGCAACATTTGACTGTTCCAACACGAAAAAAATCATAATAAAAACCTTTATAGCTTTATAGCATAAAAAACAATAGCTTTCATGAAATCTGACAGCAATCTGACCTCTTCAAAAACCACATATTAATTCAAACATTTCCCCTCGACAGGTGTGAGCGAAACGTGTCAGGTGTGGGCGTACTAACACAGGCGTGGGCGTACTGCCACAGGTGTGGGCGTGATGTGGGCGGTGTGGGCGTGTTTGACAATCCTCTTCCAAACGGGCATCGCAGAATCTTCAGGTGAGAAGCCCTATGTGTTCATCTTAGCTACTTACTAATTATGTGTTAATTGGATTACAAGAAAACGTCGTATTCCAGTGAGTAAAAATTCTGGAAATGTATATAATAATATTTTTTGTCTTCAAAACAAAAAAACAACAAATATTAAGGTATGAGGCAGGATAAAGAGATATGAGGCAGGATAACAGAGTTAAAAAACGGGATAACGAATTGTGAGGCGGGATAAGAAGGAATGAGACAGGAAAATGATGCAATATAATGACGTATGAGGGATATAATAATAATATATATATTATATATATATATATATATATATATATATATATATATATAATGGTCCTGGGGACCATTCAGGCTTGTTTGCATATATATATATATATATATATATATAGATATATATATTAGAGAGAGAGAGAGAGCAGAGAGAGAGAGAGAGAGAGAGAGAGAGAGAGAGAGAGAGAGAGAGAGAGAGAGAGAGAGAGAGAGAGAGAGAGAGAGAGAGAGAGAGAGAGAGAGATCATGTTTCTTTTTGGCAAATAACATTAAATAAAATATTAAAATACAAGCGAAAAAGAGGACAGAAAAGGAGAACGAAAGAAAAAACTCCTAAAAAAATCCTTTACTCGTAATACCCAAGAGTTGATGACTGTGTTTGGTGCGTCTTCGCCTTGGGAATTCGCTATAATGTTTCTTAAATATACAAATATACATTCATATACTGCTGTTATATAGGGCAGGAGCTGGCGCCTGCAAGCTAAGGCGTTGCCAATGGCATCATGCAAGCTAAGGCTTTGCCAATGGCATCCTTTAAGTTAAGACTCTGCAAGCTAAGATATGGAAGGAAATGCAGAATAGAACCAATGAAGAGCAGAGGTGCCATAGCCACAATCAGAGAACACTGTATAAACATCAGAGGTCCAGTGAAGAGCAGAGGTGCCATAGCCACAATCAGAGAACACTGTATAAACATCAGAGGTCCAGTGAAGAGCAGAGGTGTCATAGCCACAATCAGAGAACACTGTATAAACATCAGAGGTCCAGTGAAGAGCAGAGGTGTCATAGCCACAATCAGAGAACACTGTATAAACATCAGAGGTCCAGTGAAGAGCAGAGGTGCCATAGCCACAATCAGAGAACACTGTATAAACATCAGAGGTCCAGTGAAGAGCAGAGGTGTCATAGCCACAATCAGAGAACACTGTATAAACATCAGAGGTCCAGTGAAGAGCAGAGGTGTCATAGCCACAATCAGAGAACACTGTATAAACATCAGAGGTCCAGTGAAGAGCAGAGGTGCCATAGCCACAATCAGAGAACACTGTATAAACATCAGAGGTCCAGTGAAGAGCAGAGGTGCCATAGCCACAATCAGAGAACACTGTATAAACATCAGAGGTCCAGTGAAGAGCAGAGGTGCCATAGCCACAATCAGAGAACACTGCATAAACATCAGAGGTCCAGTGAAGAGCAGAGGTGCCATAGCCACAATCAGAGAACACTGTATAAACATCAGAGGTCCAGTGAAGAGCAGAGGTGTCATAGCCACAATCAGAGAACACTGTATAAACATCAGAGGTCCAGTGAAGAGCAGAGGTGCCATAGGCACAATCAGAGAACACTGTATAAACATCAGAGATCCGCGGTTGTTCAACGTCCTTCCAGCGAGTATTAGAAATATTGCCGGAACAACCGTGGACATCTTCCAGAGGAAACTAGATGGTTTTCATCAAGTTGTGCCGGACCAAGCAGGCTGTGGTGGGTATGTGGGCCTGCGGGCCGCTCCAAGCAACAGCCTGGTGGACCAAACTCTCACAAGTCAAGCCTGGCCTCGGGCCGGGCTTGGGGAGTAGAAGAACTCCCAGTAAATAATAAAGTAAAAGAAAGAGAGAGAGAGAGAGAGAGAGAGAGAGAGAGAGAGAGAGAGAGAGAGAGAGAGAGAGAGAGAGAGAGAGAGAGAGAGAGAGAGAGAGAGAGAGAGAGAGAGAGAAAGACACATAGAGAGAAGAAAGTGAGAGAGAGGGAGAACTATCATGAGAAAGCGCCAAGCCATCACGACTATATAGCGCTGGGAAAGGGGATCAGGATAACGATTTGGGATGGGACGGTGGGCGAAAGGAATGGTGCCCAACCACTTGGACAGTCGGGGATTGAACGCCGACCTGCATGAAGCGAAACCATCCAGCAGGATTTGTCACAACACCATCATCCATACTATCAACATTACTTTACGAGCTCGTTAACCGCCTCCTTGCCACGGAATCTGGCCACTCCAACGATGTCGTAAAATGGGGATTCCTTATGAGTCTGAAATGTCAATAAGGCGATATGCAATGTGTGTGTGTGGGGGGGGGGGGGGGCGCGGGGGGCGGGGGGGGGGAGCCATCTTTATTGCTGTCATTTTAAGAAGAAAAAGTTTGTGACTCAGCTTCTACAAATTACCTTTTTTAATGATTTGTTATATATGGAATTATTTTGTTTAGCTGGAGCTTGGATGATTCAGGGGTTGACGCATTCACAACGTGTAAGGTATAATAGATTCTGTACTGTATGTGTGTATACATGTTCTCTATGATAGTCCATGAGCACACATGTACACATCCAGACACAGATACATATATACACACACACCTGCACTGGCAACAGACATAGCTCAACACACACAACTCAACATACGTGAGAAAGAGAAGGTTGGGCCAGACGGGATCTCACCATGGGTACTGAAAGAGTGTGCAGGAGCATGTTGCTTGCTACTCTCCATAGTGTATAGTAAGTCACTGGAGACGGGAGACCTACCAGAAATATGGAAGACGGCGAATGTGGTCCCAATATACAAAAAGGGCGACAGACAAGAGGCACTGAACTACAGGCCAGTGTCCTTGACTTGTATACCATGCAAGGTGATGGAGAAGATCGTGAGAAAAAATCTAGTAACACATCTGGAGAGAAGGGACTTCGTGACAAATCGCCAACATGGGTTCAGGGAGGGTAAATCTTGCCTGACTGGCTTAATAGAATACTACGATCATGTGACAAAGATTAAGCAAGATGGAGAAGGCTGGGCGGACTGCATTTTCTTGAACTGTCGGAAAGATTTTGACACAGTACCCCATAAGAGGCTGGTGCATAAGCTGGAGAGACAGGCAGGAGTAACTGGTAGGGCGCTCCAGTGTATAATGGGGTACCTAAGCAATAGGAAGCAGAGTTACAGTGAGAGGTGATACCTCAGATACCTTCACTGGCGTGAAGTCACCAGTGGAGTCCCACAGGGCTCTGTACTCGGACCTATCCTGTTTCTGATATACGTAAATGATCTCCGAAAGGGCATAGACTCATTCCTCTCAATGTTTGCTGACGACGCCAAAATTATGAAAAAAATTAAGACAGAGGAGGACAGCTTGAGGCTTCAAGAAGACCTGGACAAGCTGCAGGAATGGTCGAACAAATGGTTGTTAGAGTTTAACCCAAGCAAATGTAATGTAATGAAGATAGTTGTAGGGAGCAAGAGGCTAGATACAAGGTATCATTTGGGAGATGAAATTCTTCAAGAATCAGAGAGAGAGAAAGACCTGGGGGTTGATATCACGCCAGACCTGTCCCCTGAAGCTCATATTAAGAGGATAACATCAGCAGCATATGCCAGGTTGGCCAACATAAGAACGGCCTTTAGAAACTTGTGTAAGGAATCATTCAGAACTTTGTATACCACATATGTCAGGCCAATCCTGGAGTATGCAGCCCCAGCATGGAGTCCATATCTAGTCAAGCATAAGACTAAACTGGAAAAGGTTCAAAGGTTTGCCACCAGCCTAGTACCCGAGCTGAGAGGTATGAGCTACGAGGAGAGACTACGGGAATTAAACCTCATTTCGTTGGAAGACAGAAGAGTTAGGGGGGCATGGTCACCACATACAAGATTCTCAAAGGAATTGATAGAGTTGATAAAGACAGACTATTTAACACCAAGGGCACACGCACTAGGGGACACAGGTGGAAACTGAGTGCCCCAAATGAGCCATAGAGACATTAGAATTATTTTTATTGTCAGAATAGTTGACAAATGGAATGCATTAGGCAGTGATGTGGTGGAGGCTGACTCCATACACAGCTTCAAGTGTAGATATGATAGAGCCCAGTAGGCTCAGGAACCTGTACATCAGTTGATTGACGGTTGAGAGGCGGGACCAAAGAGCCAGAGCTCAACCCCCGCAAGCACAACTAGGTGAGTACAACTAGGTGAGTACACACACACACACACACACACACACACACACACACACACACACACACACACACACACACACACACACACACACACACACACACTCACGCTCAAATTGTAATCATTCACGGCATATTAATCCTCCAGAGCAAAAATGCGCTTATTAATCGAGTTAAGAAATTGAGTTCATAAGTGCAGCACTTTTACCGGCAACTCTGTAAAAATACCAGACTCAGAGAGGATTAAACCCACCGTCAATTACTTTACCTAATAATGTAATTGTTCCACAGAGAACGACACTATCCAAATGTGAAATTCTTCAGCCGATAGAATCGAAATTCTGAATCGGCAGTTTGGTCGAGGGGGTCACATTCCCGCCCTGTAGTTGAGCTGTTAGTGGACTCCGATAACAGGTTATTACCAATCTATTATAGCCTGATAACACAATACCCCAGATAACACAATTCTACTAATTCCATGGAGGTGGTCTTGATATATTTCATCAATAACCGCCCATCAAATTCTTCTATACGAGGCTATAGAGTGTAAGTCGAAGATGAAGCCATCTTCGCTAAAGAAGAATTAATTCCTAAACTCATTTCTAAACACGTATCTGAAATAAATTCTCAATCTACGAGACTCGACATCAGATTCATAGCAGAGAACTGGTTAAATGTCGAGAATACAATCAGGCCAAGTACTAGTTTCTTTCATCCTGATGCTCCTGTTCACCTAGCAGTAAATAGGTATACCTGGGAGTTAGACAGCTGCTACG